ATTTCAGAAAAAAAGATAATTTAAAAAACCACACACACATTCCAGATCTACTGATAGAGAGTCACTGATGTCATTTTAACCAACGCAGAGGCAATACTGTATGTACATACCCTGTCAGACCAAACTCGGGGTAATACAATTATAACATAGCTGGTCACACAGAGGTGCATACATCGTGATCCTTTTAATGTTTGCAGAGAGACAATGTGTAACGAGGACAACCTCGGCGACAACGCTCCCCTGATGTTATTTATCTATGTATGTGTTCTGTATGGTTATGCTTCTGGTACCCATTGTTTCTCATGTTGATTTTACAAAACAGAGTTTTATGTCACAAAGCCACTGTCTTTTGTAAATAAATCAAATGTGAGATATATTAAAAAGATTTAAAATATGGCTGCGGCTGGTCACGTTTTTTTATTTATCATCACTTGATGCATACATCAGCTATCATTGGTGGCAAGTAACATGTACTCACTGGCAAATGCTCATTAACATGCATCTCTAATGAGCCAAGCACACGGCAGCAACTTAATGCTTTTATGCATGTAGACATAGTCAAGATGACGTGCTGAAGTTCATACTGAAGCGATTTAGGTGACTTGGTTGTTGTTGCCAGGCTGGTTTGAGTATTTCAGAAACTGCTGGCCTGTCGTCTTTTTCTCACACAACCATCTCTAGGGTTTACAGAGAATGGTCAGGAAAAGAGAAAATATCCAGTGAGTGGCAGTTTTCTGGGAGAAAATGCCTTGTTGATGCCAGAGGTCAGAGGAGAATGGTCAGACTGCTTTGAGGTGACAGTAAAGCAACAGTAGCTCAAGTAACCACTCGTTGCAACTGAGGTATGCAGAAATTTGCATACAGCATGTCTTACCTAGAACCAGATGGGTTACAGCAGCAGAAAACCACACTGGGTGCCACTCATGTCAGCTAAGAACAGGAAACTGAGGCTACAATTCACACATAATGGAAGCATCATTCATAGCCACTCTCATCACTACTAATTTATAGTGAATGTTCTTAAAAAAATCTCATTCACTAATTTTAGTTAGTGTTTCATTGCTGAATTGTACATAGCAGTATTATTATTTTTAATTAGACTACGTTCTCCAGCATTAATTATACCAATTAAAAGAATAGGGGCAGTAAAAGTCTTAGGTTTCATTGTAGCATAGAAACATTAAGATAACTGCTTTTGAATCCTGAAATGTACTTGCAAGTTTGTTGCAGTGCAAATGTTGAGTTGGGTTTCTTTGATCACTTTTTTTGTCTAGTTTGATGTTCACACTTGTAAATGAGGTCATTCTTACACATTTAAAGTATTACTTCCTTTATTTCAATGCATTAGTGGTGAAGACACATGCTGTTATGCTATTTTAACATGTATTTCACTTAATACAGGAAGTATAGAGTTCAAGGAAATAGATAAACTTTGCAAGTAATGTTGGTCACATCCCTTTTATTTAATATGCACTTCATTCATGTAGAGTAGATTAAAAAAAATGTTTACTCCAATGTGTATTTAAGGACAAATCATCACTTGCTGTCTTATGAGTGTTTCATCCTTTGTTAATATAGGTAAGTCTACAGTGTAATATCCATCCATATTTTACTTGTTTAACAGGCTATTTTCTTTACATCTCAGTTTCTGCTTGTTTCGCCAACCTTACACAAGTATTTCCAAGTTGCAGACACAAGAAAGTGTGAGTACCCTTGATTTTAATCTTTTGTGTACGACCACCTTTTCAGCATCTTCTTTTAAACAAGAAGCAGAGAAACAGAATAACCGAGCAAAAACTGAAGCCCACCAAACTCTATATCAAAAAGAGTGTGGCCTTTTTCCCAATACTTCAGGCGTAGATCATATCAAAAGCTATGAAGTTGACATGAGGTCAGGACACTGTGACCTCTCAGTATCCTCCTCTTGGGGTTTCCACGAATAGACAAAGGGTGTCCACTAGCCAGCAGCACGCTGCTTATGTCTGTAGGTCATGTGCCATCGTCTTGCTGCTGCTATCCTCAGATGAACCACTCAGTCCCAATGACACTATGAGAAAGAGGAGCCATTGCTACTTCCATATCAGTGAACCACATCTGCCAACTACGCACACATGTCCTCTCTTCCTCATTGCCCATGAAAAGCCTTCAAGCTGCCCCAAAGGGATTTGTTCGGTGAACATTTAGCCTTCCCGGAATCTGGCATTGGGCGACTGCGTCTAGTGGCATGTACGGGTATAGATGGTTGTTTGCAATAGTGAGTAATAAAATGAAAATGATAAAACCACAGACATGGTGCAAGATGAAGAATTCTATATGGACTATAGTCCCAAACATTTTGATATACTGCATGCATTTTTGCACGTTTAATTTAAGATACATTTGAAATAAAGTGAATCTTAGACCTTTGCACTGTTTTTTTTAAACTCATACCTTTGTCCAGCTTCTTTTTTATTGTGTTGTTTTGCCATCTTAATAAATCCTACTAATGTGACTCTTTACTGCGATATAAAGGATACTAACTGTTCCCAGGGGGCAAATTAAACAAGGACTTAGAAGTTACTGAGTAAAACCGAGCAAAGATCTCAGATACTAAATGTTAATACCTTTAATATTGTGTATTGCCTTCAGCTGAGCCTTAAAAGCTCATCATGAATTATCCTACTCTTACATCTCTAAACTTGTTTTTATTTCCTTTTGTTTGATGTTCTGTTCTTGTAATTTGCATTTAAAAACCTTATTATTATTATGTATTAATGCATAATGTAAATGACTTTAAATTGTCTTTGTTTAAGTAAACTTTCTTTTACAGGAAACGTACCAAAGTTTTTTCACAGAAATTACTTTTGATTTGTCACAGCCTCCACTCCAGCGCTTACAGGCATCACAGTGAAACTTTGAACATTTTATTAGTCCCAACTGCGTTTCGCCAGTTGAACTGTCTGCTTCTCTAAAACTGTTGATTTGACCGAGAAAGGATTGAAGGCTACTGTTGTCCTCCCATCCCTTATTAGATACCAGAGACAAAGCATCGCAGGTACCAATTAGCGTACAGAATAAGAAATCTAGGATAAAAAAAAGAATGAAAAAGGAATCACAAATGTCTAAATCTAACAAAGGCACATTTACGAGTAATTTGAAGGGTCTGAACAGGGATGAACAGACTGTGCAGGGAATGTTACAATCCATAAATATGTAAAAAAAAAAAAAAAAAAGTGGGGCATTAAAAGAAAAAGTCTACACCAGCGTCAAGAAGTAAAACACACATTGCAGTTTAATTAAAATAGGTATAGATGACACAAGTGTTACTTCACCAGACCCCAAAGCTGGCTTCAGGCATTAGCTAATTACATGGCTGCTTGGGGCCCCACAGCCACCAGGGGGCCCATAAAAGAAACAAAATAAAAACTAGGAAGTCTCTCCAGGTTCCTGTGTGTGTGTGTTTTGTCATTATTTTGTATTACACATGTATTACTTGTATTACACACTACATTTGAACAAGTTCAAGCCTTTGTGTGTTTCAGTGCCAATACTAAAAATGCAACAATCATTTCCAAACAGGAAACTTCTTGCATGCTTGGTTGTTTCATTTTTCTCAACTTAGTATTTGTGTATTTTGATACATTTAAGAACTTATCTTGCATATTTCGTCAGTGTGTCACTTTTACGTGCATGGCATTTCAACAGCTGCTGGTGATAGCTTTAAATGATCTGGTTCATCAGGTTTTTTTTAATATGCGAGATTTGGACAATCTTTTGAATATGCAATGAGCAGAAAATGAGATGGGGACTACACACACACATAAAGGACAAAACCGCTCAGGACTGGTTATGACTGCAAGTGCATATTGTCATTTGGCACAGGCTCTCTAAGGGACTCTCTAAGGGGGCAGTGGTAAAAATGTGGTTTGGTTTACTGCTTATTTTTACCCTAAGGTCACATCACTGGGGCCAACCAGAGCAGCACTTAGGGGACATCTGGACCATTAAAATGTCTCTGGTGTAAAATCAGTTTAGAAACTAAGCATAGTATTGTTCCAATTGTGCAATAATGCGTAGACCTGTAAATAAAGTTATAGAGGCATCCCTGCAGCCTTGTGGTCTTCAGTGCACACAGTGTGGTAGCATGAGTCCCAGCCTGAATTATCTTTGTTATACAGGATTCCCCTTTACCTGTCTCATGTTAGAGTATAAGGTAAAGGCCAGAGTTACTAAAAACTTGCATTTCCAATTGAGCTTTTTTTTTTAAAAATTTTACTTTGAGTGTTTGTTTTCAATTCAATTCAGTTTAGTTTCATTTATTTTCACAGTCATGCACACATTATAATGTACACAAATCTCAATAGACGCATTCCCCAAATATTCGTTTAGTTAATTATAATAGCTTTGGTAAATACTCAAGAATAAACATATGAAGGCATCCCAAATGTTCGGGGGATACACATGGAGTAGGGCTGGGTTTCAATTATCGATTTTCTTATTAACACAAAGACTTAAACACAAAGCGCAGACTCGACACCTCGTAGATTTTGATGGTGCAGGTTTTGTCGCTCTCCGACCAAAATGCACTGAACCAGCAGTAAAAGAAGATCAAACTACGCTTTAAATTTGATAAATATGGTCATTAATTACTCTAATTTTTGCTGTTTTGCTTCCACCAGGATAAAATCACACTTCCTGCACAGCTCTCTCTCTCTCTGTCAGTGTAGTTCAAGAATAGTTTCCCATCTTAAATCTCAGTTTTCTGCATAATTTTCTTGCTTATTGCTTATTTCTGCTGTTTAGTACCGAAGAAATTACTTTTAAGCTGTTTATCTCACGCAAAATTTCAATCGAAATCCAATCGAATCGGGACCTTGTGAATCGGAATCTAATCGATTATATAAATCAGTGACGATACCCAGCCCTATTATCGTGCAAAAATGTAGATATTTGCAAATGTGTTGAGTCCACGATATATGACTGTTTCTAGGACCCAGAGAAAAGCAGGCACACTTCAGGCCCCTGCAGTCAGAGCGGCGCATCTGGAAGAGAGCTGGCCGGCTGGGGAGGTGGAGGACGGGGAGAGAAGAGGAAGGAGGCTCCGGGAGCAAGCGAGACAAAAAGGGTCAGGCCTGGGACTTGGGAAAACCGGGTAATGACACACAGTGACTCACGCATGTAAATTTGTTTAACCCGCCACGAGCAACCACGCAGGAAGGGTAACCTTTATGTGAACAAAAAACGTGAACGACCGGAAGGCGCTCGATGGAAATGGGGAAATAGCGATTTAGGGTTCGCTTTTTGCAGATGTGCTGATTGGACGTCGAGATGTGAACTTGACCGGGTTTGGAGCACGGAACCAGCATCGCGGCTTCTCAAAGCTGTGGCCTCATTAAAGGAAATAACGGGGGGGTTATCCTTCAGTGTCCGTGGCCTGTAAAAGATCCACAATCCCCTGGGTCATATTGCAGACTTCCCCTGCTGTAAAAAGACGTCTAAAACTTTGCAATTTTTAACGCATAGCCGGTTGAATAATATATGCACATCAGTCGATCGTAGTATGGTGTAAGCGTGTGGCCTGATTGCAGGCTGATGGCATGGAAATGCGGTGACACTGAACGCCTGTGTGGCCTTATAATAAATTATTTTTTAACACGTTCTGGTTGTTGCCTACATTTATTTTCCACGAGCGTGGACGTAAATCCGGCAGTGTGTTTTACATACAGCATGTTTTAAATTAATCACAACCGAGTGTCATCAGTCTCATTTTAGCCCTTAGATTCAACACATCCTGTACGAATATAGGTTGTTGTTTTTTTGTTGTTGTTGTAAATTTCCACGAGTGCAAAACAGTGTAACTGTGGCTTCGCTTTGCGCGTTAGGCAGACCGCTGGAGTAACTTTAACCCAGACTCTCACGATGGAAATGAAATATTAATGAATTTTGAAAAATGTCCCCACAAAAATACAAGTATTTTTGCGCTTAGTTTGGAGCATCGCGCTCTTTATTTTCAGGCTGCACGATGCACCCAGTTCATGTCGTCTACTGCACAACACACATTCATGTGGTGTAAAGGGGCCTGTAGGATATAGTGGCCATACAGTATCTATAGAAGCCTGTGAGGGTCCTATAGCTACATGACGTGTACTCAGCAAAGAGAAAGCTGATGCTCGGGGTAAAACAACTTCATTTTAGAGAAGATACATAAAATATGTCACTGGATTATCTAGTCTGCATGAAACTAAAGAATCAACACATTAAAGACAAACTTGCTGAACATATCTTACCATTGCTTTTCTTCTTTTAACTTCCAGGAGAGCAGGAAGAAGAGGGGATCATCCGTCATTGCTTTATTTTCTTTTAAACTTTTCAACTTCCTTTTAACGTGAAAGTCCATATCTACACTACCCATCATCAGACATTACCCATAAGCTCATAAGACTCTCAATGATGCCGTCCAACACTCTCACCAACACCACCACCACTGCTGATTCACCTGGAAATCCAATGGTAAGAAACACGTGTGTGACAACAACAACAAATGCGTCACTTGACACGTTGCGGAACTTAACTCATGATCTGGTGATTTTAAAAAGATGTCGGGAGGGTTTCTGAATCACTTGACTTGAGCTCAAGATTGAATTGGATTTGATCGTCCATCACTGAAAAGTGCTTCTTTTAATGTCTTCGGAAGCACTGATTTAAAAAGACATTATTCACCCCTGAGCTCGTCCTGCAGTGATATAGCATGCACTGCCTGTTTGTATTTTCATATGATCTTGGCACGGAGTATGTGTACATGAATTGTATTTTTTTATGACCGTGCTGTTACACAGATAGAGCCTTAAAAATGAAAGGAAGTGGATTGGATTGATTTCTATAGTCACTTCAGGCCAAAACCAATTCAAATCTTCCTCAATTTTACGATTCCCGTTAATCATTAACCCACACTCACTAATCTGTGCAGTCCAAAGAATTGCTAGAGCAGACCTCATTGCAATGAATTCCTCTATTCAGTGAAGAAATAGGCAAATTTTTACAGTAGAATCTAACAGCACGTGACGTGCCTTGTCACCTTTCATGATGCAGACGCACTTGTAATTTCAGTCCCTGTGTAACTGCAGCATCACCTGTGTGGCAGCAATAGCAGCGGCACCGAAGAGGCTGTTGGGAGGTGCAGCTGTATTCTGTGACATTTACTGGTATAATGGTGGTTGGTGACGTGGGCGTTGGCTGGTGTAGGTTGAGATGGAGCTGGAATGGCTCGACAGCTCTTTTGCTGGGGGGATCTGTCCTCTTCTTCTGTGTTCCCATTACACAGTACTGCCCTTAGTCTTGTTGCCTGGCAACAGACATTGCCTTAAATAACTGGCTACCCAGACGGAAATAGTGCAGAGATATTGACAATGTAGTAGGGTTCACTCCAGGCAAGAACAAATTATATTCCAGGCTTTTTTTGTTGTTTTTCTCAGAAAATATTAGGGCGAAGCTGAATGTGAAAATGGCGTGTTGTCCTCAGTCGGAGGACCTCAGCCTGAGCTCTCTAACAGAGAACTGGAGGAGCGCTGTGCTGTGCTGTCCTTGCAGAGATAGCCAGGCACCACTGAATTGTGTCATCCATGTAAGTGGTTCCCAAATGAGCCTGCACACCAGGCTGCACTCAAAACGTGCTATTATCTATGCAAATTCTGCCGCCCTGGTAGGGAAAAACCGACGCACCAGGCACTCTATTAGTGATCGCACAATGAACTGGAACCATCATCAAAACACATTCTCTTACAAAAGGTTTCAAATCTACGTGTAAAAATAACCGTTCAAATGCTTATCTCTAACAAAAATGTCATTATTTTCACTTATTTTATAACCATTTCTTCCAGTTTTAATCCTCTGCCCATCAATCAGAGTATCATTTACCTTGATTATATCTATTTCCTTATGCAAATTAGTTTATCTCCCAGGAGCATTGATGGCTATGGCAGACACTGAGGGCGAAACGTGGCCAGACGGTTGAAATAACTGCCTATAATGATTAAAACCCCTTGCCCTTAAATTATTTAGTAGACCTTGTGGTACTTTTATGGTATTTTTTTAAACATATTATATAGTTATAGTATTTCATCAGCACAGAATCGGATGAGTTGCAGATTTTACTGTAGGACTGACTCAAACCCAGAATGTCACAGCTACCAGGTACTTCATGAAATATGCTCAACACTAAGGCTACTGTAAAAACTCACTTTGCATACTGCAAGTTTTTTTTTCACATGACAAGATCATCGTCAAAGGGCACATTTTGTACGGCTAAAATGAAATTGTTCCTCTTTAAATAATTTTCTGAGAAAATGAAGGAAATCCCGTCCATTTTGGTTTAACATATGAGGTTAATTTTTGACTTTTGAGACAGCAGTTGAAAGAATAATTAACTCCAAGGCCCAGTTAGCAGCTTGTAATCTTTTTGCCCAAATCAAGAACCCCTTACCCCCTAAGTGTTTAAATTTGAACATTTAATTGACTTTTGAACCCTTTGTGCTGATAAAAGGAAATGATTTAATTAGATCTGATGCTGAATGGATCCTGTGGCCTCATTTCCTGTTCTTTAATTCCAGAATAAATTATGACACTAGAGTATAATCTATGAGGTAAATGTTTTCATGTAACACCAGGGTGGAAGACCAGATGAAGTCATGCAGTGTAAGTAAAAGACGTGCACATGCACTTTGAAGCAGCTTGTTGATTTGTGGGCTGCTTAGTCTCATTTTGCTGCTGCCATCTTGTTTAAAAAAATGTAACAGGAGCATATATGGACTCAATTTGCTTTCTTATTTACTATAAGCAGTGTTGGGAAGGTTACTTTTCAAATGTATTCCATGACAGATTACAGAGTACATTCCTCAAAATGTATTTTGTAACATATTCCGTTAAGTTACTCAATGAGAGAAATGCATTCGGAATACTTTGGATTACTTAATATATTATCATGCTTTTTACAACTACATGCATGTACTATTGCTGTGTGATTTATTACTATAACTGAAGTATACTCTCCATACCAATAGCAACTAGATTTTTGAATCTTAATATAAAATGAGTAACAGTAGGTGGACATTAGGCAAGGCTGCACTTTTTGCAGCGATCTCATATAGAAAACTATTCCGCGAGTGTATAGAACAGGTCAGCGGCTCCGAATCGTTGTAAAAGGACCTCTGGCTAATACATCGGGTTCATGTCGGGCTTGTAGCTGAAAACTAGCTTTACTTTGTTGTCTGAGTCCGCTTTGCTAGCGAGAGACAGAGCGAGGCGTTGAAAGGCTGCTCAAACGGAACTTATTGTTTCAGAGGAAAATACGATCACAATGTACAGTCAAGTCTTAATAGCTTACTTACAACTGGGCTCATCAGGCACTCTTTTTGGCTGCAGTGGTTGTTATTATATTTGCATGGTTTCATCTCCCGTTTCTGCTCTTTGACAGCTCGTACTTTTCCACTCTTCTTTTTAAAGGGTAACTGTAACGGAATACAGTTACTCATATTTTGTATTTTAAATACATAATGGCAATACATGTATTCCGTTACTCCCCAACACTGACTATAAGCCTCAACCATTTACACAAACATTCATAGAAGTGCTTTTTTCTATTCCTAAACACTTATGACCTAGCATTCATATACTCACTCTCCAAAGAATACATCGGGAGGAACCTGGGGTTCAGTATCTTGTCTAAGGATGCTTCGAGTTGGAGGAATCAGGGATTAAATTTTCCAAAAAATAGATCACTCACTCTACCTCCTGAACCACAGCCAATCCCCCCCCCCACCAAAATACCACACTATGAGTCAAATCCTAAAGCATAACCTGCTTTATTGTTAATTTACTGTAAATGGAACCATAATTTTAAAAAATGAACGTCATGCTGTGTTAAACAGCACGCGAAATGAGTGAATGAGGTCTTAAACTCAGTAGGAGAGTGTTTACTGAGGTCATAAATTGAGTGAGAAGTAGGCCCATTTACTCATAGATTATACAGCAAGTCTTCTTTTTGCAACTACAAGAGTCGCCTCCTACTGGTCATTGTGAAATAATTAAGGTTCAAGGCATTTCCACCTTGGATTCGCTTTTCAGTCCCACAGTTATCCTGCATTCTGTCGGAAGCAGGAAGTTCCCAGACTCTTAAGTTTTAGCTGGAATGCCCATTCAAGTCAACGTGCCACTTGGAAAGTTGGAGAATTCATGCCAGCGCCACCTTTGCACACAAACAGTATTGAAATGGCAACATGTCTTGTGTATTTATGACTCCCTAAATAAGCCATACATAGAAAACCCACCAGGCTCTATCCATGAACGCGCCGCAGCCTTCCACTCCATGTATTGCTGAAGGATTGTGTTCATGGCATCACCTTCTTGATGAAGCGCAGACAGCTCAGGTATGAAAAAATTCCCAGCACATGAGATCCAACATCCAAGGTTAAAGGAATGCCATAATTGCTTTTATCTTTAATTGCAGTTTGATACTTCCAAGGGATGGATATGAATATGTCACTAATGGGTCCATAGTCTGCATAGCACAGTAATTCTGTGTCATATTGAAATACACTAAATCCGACGTAGTTTCATATGTTCATTGTTGTAATTTTTAGTTAAATGTCTTTAAGATGACAAATTAACTGTGGATATGCACTGGAGACTGCTTTTACTCTGGTTTGCTGCTTCTTAAAGTTATTAATGTTTTATACCACTTTACCTCCGTAATTCAGTAACTCCTCTTGCTAGACTTAACTCCACCCATTATATATAGACAAAAGCTTGTACTATCTCATAGTAACATTTTATCATGTTGTACTACGCCATCTCACTAGAGATTAGACATACATACACTTATCAACATGTCAGCAGAGGTTGGAGAATGCCTACAGTGCAGAGACCCCATTTATCTTTGATGGAATTTCACATTCAGTACTGAAGGAATTTAATAAGGACCCGGCCCTCCATCCTCCACCCCCCCACTGCAGCTGTCAGGAATGGCGTTGCACTCTCATTTGCATTCAAACCTGGTACTGGTGGTTCTATTCAGTCAATATTGAAACTCAAAGCATCTACATTAGGATCATCTTTTCTCCCGTCAACCCCAGGGGTACTTGGTGATGGCAGACATGGGGCTTTGTTCCTGGGGGTAGACAGTTTTATTAATCAAAGGGAAATTGCAGCAGGGGAAGGTGGGGGCCGATCTATGTCTTTGTAACGGTGTCAAGAGGGAATTGTCTGTGGAAGGTCAGCACTGCGTCCGAGGAGCTTTCATTTCAGCCTACTTCAAAGGAATGTGTCATTCAGTTTCTATCTGTCTCATTGTCCACTCAACCAAAGACACTGGAGGACCTGCTCCAGCCCTCCCAAATGTTCAAGTGTTTCACTGTAGTGCAGTTGTCTCTGTTTCCTATAGATCTAGTATCACTTGTGCTGCATCTTTGGTGGAGGTGAAACTGCCATCTAGCTGATTGTACACAAAAATGCACTAATTAAATCATTCAGTGTTACATGCATCTTTACCCAAGCAGCTGCAGGTACTTTGTCTAAATTGTGGCATGCATTTTTTCTTGATAGGGTGAGAGAACAATACTGGACTCAGACCTGATGGAGGAGAAGTCACCTAAAAGTAGCAAGCCTGGAAGAAAACGCAAGCAGTTTTCAGTGAGTGTTGACATGTCTAAACAAATTACATTTGTCCACGCATGCATACTTGTTTTGCAGTGATTAGGTCTGATTCAACAAACCCAAAAATAGGATTAGAAAAATATTTGCAGATGATGTGCCAGAGGGCTTGTGTAAGTAAATTTAACCTCCTAAGACCCAAACTCTTCCACAGCATGCATTTTTAATTTCTCTTTGATATTTGGTCACATTGGGGCCCGATGAATGTAAAAACAAAGAATTACCAGATTTTTTTTTAAAACTTATTTTTGTTTTTAAGAAAAATAAGAGCCACATATGAGGATATTCGTTTAAAATTTTGATAGAACAGTAGCAGTATAATGTCCTCGTAAGTGGATATCAGGCCCTTGTAGAGCAAAACTGAGTATTTTGGTCTAAATAACACAAAATGTGATGTCCACATATGTGGATGCCAGGTCCTAGGAGGTTAAAGCAGCTTGGAGTTAGTATTAATACCTGGTATAGTAACACTCTACTTCGAATCAAGGCACCTTAGTAAGTGCTTTCACAGCTGCGTGGGGAATTGACCACATGTACCAAATGCTCAAATGTTCACTGTTGCTGTTGTTGTAATTCATCTCTGAGCGAGACAGCCACTTCACTTTGTCACATATCAGCCTCCTCGCTGACTTGCGTTGTTTCCTGCCTTCAGTGTCAAATGTCAAAAGAAAAAAAAAGTTGCAAAGAAATAAATTTAGAACTCAAAATGGGTTCAAGTTGTCCAACCACAACCGAAGGTTTGCTGTTTCAGAACTGAAACTACTGAACTGAAACCCTCCTGGAAGGCAGAAGGACAGATGGCTGCCTTTTCACCTTCACATACTGTAGCTGGCCAGTCATCGCGTGAAGTGCTTGTTAGACTGTTGGTTTCAAAATTCAGCCCTTTTCCAGCATCGTCAGAACGATGTGTTTAACCATCTGACCAGTTTCAACATGATTGTTCTTGTGAATCCCACCTGGCCATATTCGGTTTCATTCACTGGTATTTATAAGCCCGATGTACTGAGTGAATCTCATCATTCCATTCAAGCAGAAAGATTATAATGCCGGAAATGCCTGTAAGGAAAGCCCATCTAAAAATGTTTGATATTATTCTTCCCTTCGCCATGTTTTTGCCTCATCGTCAAGTAATCGTTTATCTGTACGCCACATTATTTGAGGCATGTACCAGTTTATAATGAAAGCTCTTGTTTTGTCTTTGCACATGGCACCTATAAGCAGTTTCAGTAGAAAAACAAGTGTTATTTTAGCCTTCAGAAATCTGTTAACCTGTAAGACACAACGTGTACTCCTTTGTACTCATGAATAAACATGACATATTCTTGAACCTTGTTTCCAAGATACATGCATGCACTACACTAACACCATTTGCAGTCTGTTTGTGATGCCTTGTGTAGTTAAAAGCTCCGATTTAATAATGACTCTAAGGGCCAACATGTTTCTGGGTATTTTTTCTTTCCCTGAGATGTTATCATTTGCATAAGCTTCTGTTGAAAATCATCTTAATTAACTCTCACTGTTCAAATAAACAAACCAAAAAGGAAAAAAAAGGATTAGACAAATATTTACAGATAATGTATGATTGGAGGGGATATGCCAGAGGGTTTGTGCCCCTGTATTTAAAGAAGCTGAGGAGTGGTATCAATAACTGATTAAGAAAAGCCGTACGCAGAATCGGGGCGCCTCACTGAGTGTTTTCACAGCTGTGGGGGATTGACCATGTGTACCAGGCGTTCTGCTCACATAGATGTTTCACAGTTGTTGTTGTTATTCTCTGAATAAAAGAGTCACTCAAATGCCAGATTGGCCAACTTCAAATGCTGTCAGAAAGCCTCTTTTAATTTTTTTGTTTGACTCTTTTGAAAAGAGGCTGACATGGAACATTGGTTTTAAAATGTTGTTTTCCATGCAAACTGTCAAAAGCTGAGTGAAAACAGAAGGTAATTGTTGGAAAGGATAGCGTAAACAAGCCTTTAGCCCTCTTCGTATGTTGCGTTTACCCACATTGACAAAGACAGTGGAGAGAAATTCTCAGAAATGTCCTTTCTACAAAAGTGTATGTATTTTATCAATGCACACTATATGGGTGAAAGTATTGGGTCAAACCTCTTAATCTTTGAATCTTAGCCCCATTGCTTCAGGTCTATACTTTTGTCCTTATTGTGTACATACTCACTCATTCTGCTCTTTACATATATTTGCGTTCTTTTTAAGTGGTCAGTGACAAGATCAATATACTAGGTAACAAAGTGAGTATGAAACTAAAGCCATCAGGATGTTAGCATAGCTTAGGAGCTGTACACAGATAGCCATTTATATACTGACTATATTATATGTATAGAATAAGTTTGTATAAGGTGTGTAAAGTCTTTTTGATAAAATACTTGCTATAGCTTAATTCTTATTGTACAGACATGAGAACGTAGCACTTGGCAGGAACATGAATAAACAGGTTTTGCTTGGAAAGATGTTGAGCTAATCCTTTAGAAAACCTGCCTGAACAAAGTAACATGACTAAGCTCTTTTTTAGGGCACCCAGCTTCTTTATTGCTGCACTGCACTAGTTTCACTTGAACTGATGAATTTCTGAAGTTTCAGGCTAAAATATAAAAAATCCAAACAAAAACTTGCCTGCAAAAAAGCCCTGTTGCCTGTTAAATGTGATGACTGGTTTTCTGTTAAACAGATCAAACACTGGAGTGGTATTAAAAAAAAAAACCCTGAAAATAAAGAAAAACTTCCATAAACATCTTAATATTTCCTGTTTGGCTAGCTTTCCAGAAACAGAAGATCTTCAATCAATGATAATAACACGTAGAAAGGCAGCAAAATACCTCTTTTCGCATAACAGTTTCCAGTTGCTGTTAATTGAATAACGTAAGAAGTTATCAGGCAGTGTAATGAATTATTAGCTCATATTTTCAGCCGTACATCTGCATTTAATTTTAATTTCAATGTGTATTTTTAGAAACCTTTATAATCATATTATTACTGCACCTAGTTCTATGAGGGTGTGTGAATGTTGTAGCAGTAAGTTGGTTGAGGTAATTAGTCTTTATTTTTTCAACCTCTCTCTCTGTCTAAGCTGCCTGATTTACCAACTTTGACTTTTGACCTGTAGCAGGGGCCACATGTTGTTAACTATGTCACAAATCTGTTGCGTAATTCTTTCCACTGTGAGTTCTGTGTGTTGCTAGTATGTGTGTCTGAGAATATGAGTTTTTTGGGTTTTCTCTTTGCTTACTTCTTTTTTTGCATGTGTGTGATATTTGCGTAACCCCCCCCCCAAACACACACACACACCACACCACACACACACACACACCACACACACACACACACACCTCACACACACACACACACACACACACACACACACACACACACACACACACACACACATGTAGCCTCTTTTTCTAGTAGTAAACTGAGTCAGAATATTAATAATGTCTGAGCTCTGGGTTGTTTTCATTCATCGTGTCAAGGAGATTTACTGGAGAGCTGTTCTTTGTAGGAGTGCAATTGTTCAGTTTACAGTTAATTTGTTCTCAGTTACTACAGTGATGAAGTCGTTTAGAGTTCTGCGGCCTCTGAAGAATGCTTTGAAACCGACTTTGGCTTGCTGTAGATTTGTTTTACGATTCAGAGCAACTTCCACTGAAGCTTTTTTTTTTCTTTTGCATGTCTGCCACTCATAATTTGCATTGCATCCATTACACAGACATTAAAACTTGATTTAAGTTGTGTTTGCTTATTCAGACTGTCAGAATCAGATTACGGATTTGATCCTTACCTTCCTGGAGAGGATCTTTGCTCAACGTCGTCCGATGACAGACAAGCCTCCTGAGGCATTGCTTTCCCCCTTCCTCAAACTTCTGTAAATACCTGCAGATAAAAGTTTCAGATACTGTCGTAACTGCTGACAGTCTATTCTCACAAGACACACTCCACTTTCTCCCCTCAGTGACCCTATAGTGGGACTGTCTCACTAACTCGGTTTTTAGGGCTATTTTTAGGCACTATTACATTGCTTCAAACATTTAGGACTTTTCTAGGTCTTCTAAGATAGTTGGTGTTTTATTTAAGGATTGATGACTGAGTTCCTGCCATTGAAACTTTCAGCTTCAGGTCAGCTCTATTTGAATTTACTCCGCTTTATAGAATGAAACACTTGACTGGGCGTTCCAAACTGGCCGGAGAAAAAGCCTTCCCATTGTCAAACAGCCAACATTCTCAACATATTTCCGTGCTGCTGTAATGATGAATACATGACTACAAAAAGTGCACTAGTGTACCTGATGAACTGTAATGTAATCCCTTTCCTTCTTGCAAGTTAATGGCTGTACAGCACATTTACTGGCACAGCTTTGAAGTTTATAAGTTTGCCATAATTCACTGATTAATACGTGCGGAGCTGAGCTACATGTTTGATTCTGTCCAGATAGAGCTGAGGAAATTTAATTAGGCTTGTCTAATATGAAAGAGATGAATGCTTTCATTCACATTCTCTTTGAAAAAGGCCATTTAGCCACCCCTGAAAAGTGCTTATCCTGACACGGATAGTGCCAACTGTTTTATTGTGGGTCGTTCAGATCCACTGGATGATTTGTTGTAAATTCAGAAAGGTTGTGTTTATCTCACAGCCAGCTATCCAGTCATATTTCATGACTGCTGAGGCACAACTCTGTTGTACACTTCAAAATATCAATTTATAGCATACAGCTGTAAGAATCTTTAAGGATGATCGATCATCAGGATGTTAACATTTCAACCTCCCCTTTTCCTTTCAGCAGGTTGAGAGCTGTGGCTCTCTTAAAGACAGTGCGAGTGTAGGCCACAGCTACACTATGGCGATGGCACAGGTCTTCAATGGGGACATGGGCGGGATCAGAGACAGGATGCCCGATGCCTGCTTCCCAAAACAGGAGAAGCGGGAAGTCGAGAATGGGATTCCCAGAGACCCTTCCTCCTGCCGTGCAGAGGACAGCTCTCAGGGGCAGAGTCTGAGTCATCCTCAAGAGAACGGATTCCTGTCCAGCCGGGAAGAACAGGACTTGGAGAAAGCCAATGATGACTGCCTGATGACGCCGCGCAAGAAACGAGGGAGGCGGAAACTGGAGCACCCAACTAAATGTAAGATTTTGGCCATTTTCATTTGGGTTTTTTTTTTTCAGTTTTTAGTTGAGGTTTATTATCTTTTGATCAGTCTTGTGTGGCTCCAGGAAGAAAAAATCCTGGGCGTGTGACAAGTACAAGATGTTGAGTAATGAACCGTAAATGGATGTCAGACCAAGTAGGTCGACTGATGCTGCCAGGATTAGTAACACTGGGCTCGAAGAGGTGCCTTCATGCTGCTGCACAGACTAGTCTGCAAAGTGATGATGATCTCCACTGTTAACATTTATGCGAGACACAGTATGCAGACTGTTATGCATGCAATATGTCGCTTATTTTGCCTCAGTTTGGGCTACCAAATGCTTTCAGTATGCAGAAGCAGTTGGCATTTAAAAGCTCAGCGTGCTCCATATGACAAAAATGAAATTGCAAATGTAATGAAAAAAGAAAGGGATAATTACCAGATAATGTAGTGAAAAGAAGAGTGGATCACTTTACATTTATTATGCTATCCTCTAAGTTAATTACAATGTGCCGTTTTAGTAGGATATAAAAGAATACAAATTTAATTTACCCCAAAGGTTTCGACTCATCCAGCAGTTCATTAAAACATCAAAACGTAGACTACATGTACCAGCAGCTCTGACAGTATGAATTCACAAACTAATCTTGAAGACAACACTTAATTAAAAATTTAGGGAAAAGGCCCAGATATTTAACTTTTTAATAAGACAAGAACAGGCTCTGCTCCCAGTGTGCAGTTTTAGATTAAAGAAGCAATTATTTATTAATCTGTCTGTTCAGTTTTTCTAATAATTTCTCCATGCACAAGTAGTTTCTGCTGCCAGCTTCTCGAATGCGAATGTTCGCTGCATTTATTGGACTTTGTACAACGTAACAGACAAAATGATTAGTGCATGTAATTTATTACTCTACTCATGTTCATTTTGAAAATATGGCCACATTAACAGTTAAAATTAGCGGGATTAAGTCGTTTATAATAGAGGGATGCAAGAAAATTAGGACAAAAAGGAAATGTTGTACTGAAGAATGCCTCAAATATTTATTTTTCAGGAAATAATTTGACAAAATAATTATGGCAAATATAATTATTTTGTATAGATCAGATTTTTGTTCTGTTGGACTAAATCAGCACCAGTCGCAGTGCACCAGGAGATAAAACAACCATGTAAAGCGATGTAAATCAGTGGGGCATTGTTGTGAGAAAATACTGCTGACAGGTAGGTTTTAGGCCAAGATGGAGATTAACCATATCACTTAGCCCCCCCAACACACCCATCACAGCACACATGCACTCCATTTTTTGTCCTATCTCTCCCTCAGCCACGTGCCTCTCCTGCTCTGCTCTCAGTCGGCAGACACACTGGCTATGACCTTGATGAGTGCAATAAATAAATCGAGGGGAGGAGCAAGTTCTCTCCTGGCAACGGGCCTCTGTTGGGAGCTGGCAGGTCTCTGTTGTGGCCACCTCCCTGTCGGGGGTCCTGCCAGGTGGATGGCTTTGTGCCCAGAACTCTTTACAAACTGAGTCTGCACTCTGCATACACCTGATCTGTGCTTCTAGGATCTGTTACTTCACTTCCAAGCAAAAGGCAGGAATATGCATATCGGCTGCAGGTGAAAAAGGGTCAGATTTCTTAAAGCTCAGTCCAGTGCCGCTCACCATTAGCATGGGACGCAGATGGCATGGAAATTTGATTTCCACATTTCTACCTTAATGATGGTAATTCTGTGATAAATCATGAAAGTGTTTTGAGCCAACCATTTTCTTCCGCTTATTTGATTCAGGGTCTTGGGGAGAACTAGCCTATCCCAGCTGTCATAGGGTGAGAGCCAAGGTACACCGTGGACGGGCTGCCAATTTGGTACAGGGCTAACACAGTGAGACAATTTAATTCCACTGAGTTTTTAATATAGTGCCAAATCACAACAGTTGCTTTAACAGCGCCTTATATTGCAAGGTAAAGACCTTAGAATAATAGAGAGCAAACCCCAACAATTAGATGACCCCCTATGAGCAAGCACTTGGCAACAGTGGTAAGGAAAAACTCCCTTTTAACAGGAAAACAACTCCAGGGGTACCAGGCTCAGGGAGGGGCAGCTGTCTGCTGTGACCTGGACAAAAGACAGAATAAAAAACACTGTGGAAGAGACCCAGAGACGGACAACCATTTACACTCACATCCACAGCTGATTTAGTATTACCGGTTAAACCTGAATGTGTAAACTTGACACAGAAAGCTCCCAGCTGGGATTCACACCCAGGGCCTTCTTGCTGTGAGGGTGACAGCGCTAATCAATGCACCGCATCCGCATCTTTTTTTATTTTTACAGTGAGGAGAAACCTTAGAAGTAGACTGTATGAAGTGAAAACTATTAGGGAGTATACTATTAGGGACTGCATGAAGTTAAAACTATTGAAAAGCACTTGACCAGTCTGTCAAAAGGCTAATATTACTGTCAGAAAAAGTGTTACTCGTGCCTCTATTCAAAGAATGTGTCTTTTTTGAGGACACTGATTTGAAACCAGTGGAAAGTGCAACATTAAAGCACTGTTTACAACTTTAGTCTAATATAGGAGCATGCTAACTCAGAAAATTAACAGCAGCTTTGTAAATTCCCAGTGTTTCAGTGACAAATGTGTTTGTAATTATTTTTCATATATTAAGACCACATAAAGAATGACCCAATCTCTAAAATTTTGAAAGGGTTGTCAGCACTCTTTTCCACGATAACCACTTTTAATGAGCCCTGTGCCGTGATAATCTAGAGTGAATTGTGGGAGTTTGCAGGAAACAACCTATAAGCATTCCTTTCCACTTTAGCTGTGTAACAGAAATGAAAGGTCTCAGCAAAGTTTCTCTCACAAGATAAGACCAGTTGTCGACATGTCACCCAGTTTGTCAGACTGAGGAACTAGGTAGTGTGATAAAGCACCGTTAGCCACAAAGTCAAACAAACAACCTTCACAATCAGATACTCAGAGTAGAGGTTTGCAAGCACTCTGCAAGTCCTTCAAAATCTGCAGCAGATGTTAGTGACATGGCTGCATCATGGTGTTCACCAGCAGCTATGTGGGATGATACAGCAGAAAGTTTGCTTGAGATTTTAAGATTTTATTTTAATCAACATGGAGAAAGGATGGTGACATTTTACAGAAATGTGAAAGCAGCAAGGCGTTATGCAAACACTTGTGCATGCGCATGTATGATGTTAACATTTACCTTATTGCATTATACTCAACAGCATATCAGACTGCAAAATAATCCCAAAACAATCCATGCAGGGGGCTTATTAAGGTTTTAACTAAACATTTAAAATGTGTTGGTATATCCTTTTTAGAGTGGAGAGACCTTGGTGGGAGGCACTGCGGTCGATCAATAGTCAGCTAAACAGGGTTTCTGTTATCCATCTGGAGGGTACAGGAAGGACTTTAGCTCCAGCAGGAGTTGAACTGAGCTCCAGCAATACTAGAGCTGGAACCCACTCAAACTGGCAAAGTATACTCTCTGTGGGCAACATTAGCCAGCTCCTCATGCAAACCCAGTGACCTTGGCAGTGTGCATGCCTCACCGATTTGTTATATAGTCACTTATTCCCGATGAGGACAAGGAGACCAGTAGAGAGGGGTGGGGTCAGGGTGTGTGTGTGGGGGGGTGGTGGTGGTGGTGCAGCAAGTTCAGCCACACATGGAACCAACTTGAAGAGGCTGCTAAGAGAGCGGACTATTGTTTGGACAGGTTTGCAGGGTACTTCACTAACAATCCTGTGCAGAAAACACGCCATCAAAAGTTGTCCTTAACCTCTTAGGACTCGAGTGTTATGATAGTGTTTGGGCTTTAAAACAGCAGCTAGTTATGTGTACTCTGGCTGTGCCATCATGCTAATTCAGGCCACAGCTGCCTCAATGTTGTGTGTATGCTGCCCCGGTGTAATATCACTGAGCCAGGGCCCTTTTCGAAACACGTGCCTTCATTCAGATTAAACATAGTGAAAGTAATACACGAGCTTCTGGTTTGAGCTTCTGTGATGAAGCTGATTTTGGCTTGCTTATCAATGTTTCTGCAGCCACTGTGGCAGAAAAACTTTTCATAAATCATGAATCCCTGCTGCCAGGCTAGCGTTTCAGTTGGGTGATATCCATGCTCGCAGGCTAACCTCTCGCTGCTCCGCTGAACACAGGCAAACAATGCCTTTTAAGAATGAATAACATGCCGTTGTTGGTGTGCACCCCCAGACATTAAATCATGGCCAAGTTAATGGGAAATCCCAACTGGAGCTTTTACTGTGTTTGAAGCATTTTTATTAGACTGCGGTTTCAGTGCACGTTTCAGCAAATATTTTCAGTGCCATTTTTGACAGCTTTACCCCGCTGCTGTACCTCTCACTTACGGTTTCGCAACTTCCTCTGTACAGTTAGGCACTCTTTCCTGTGCAAAACACTGGACTTGCTGGTACTCTTTAGCGTCTTGAGCAGTAATAATATATCAGCGGTGGGTAAAGCATGATGATTTCATGTAATTGCGTGAATGTTTTTACAGATTTTTAAAAAGAAGAGTAGAATTTTCCAGTAGTAATGTTGGGAGGTTTGCATTTTTGGATCAAAATGCCATAATACAGCGGTTAGAGCTTTTCTTATATGAATATCTCCTCATTTCTTGGCAAGAATAGCACCCTGAAAAAATTTAGCTTCTTACACTGAGTTTCTGCCCACTTAAACCCACACATATCCATGATTAGTTGTCTTTTTGCTTATAAATGAAGGACTATAGTTGTTAGATTGACTCATCCACTTAAAATCTAAATATTGCTCAAAATTCTTGAACGCTTGCTTGTTCACAAAGATTCTTATTACTATATTATTACTGTAGCTGGTTATAGTTTGACCTAAGGCTGGGCCATATCATACCGTTCACGGTAATACCGGTATAATGTTGGGCAACGATAAGAAAATGAAATATCGCGATAGAATATGGGTAAAACGCACATGCGTAGTGCCTTTCTTTTCATACGCACATGGCGGAAAAAGCATGGCGGAGAATGAGAAGGGCGAAAGCGGATCGTTGAATGAAACGGATGAACCAGAATTGGTTTGTAAAAATGCTGCAACTTCAGTGGTGTGGAACTGGTTTAGCTTTCGTCTGTCAGACACACAACAAAGCACTATTTTTGGTAGAGCATGCTAGCGGGACGACGTTATTACCGTGTTCTTTGGAAAATACGGCACACTTAAAATCAATCCTTTGATTTTTCTGAAAATCAACAGTGCCCCTTATAATCCCGTGTGCCTTATTTATGAATTCTGGTTGTGTTTACTGACCTCGAAATGATTTTATGTCGTACAGGGCGCTCGAAAATCTGTCAAATATTTTAGTACGACTTTGCTAACCTACGAACCCGCACCGCTTGATGGATTGTCGGAGCATTACGGCTATCGTAGGCAGGAGCCTCGCAGAGTGATACGTACTGTGCTTCAACATAATATTATCGTATTGTGTGTGTATAACCTCTTTTTAAGTTTTATGGATATTATACATGGTTATGCTAAGGCCAATTTCCACTAGAAATGCCTTTTGGTTAAACTGTCAGCAAGGAATTTGCATTTGCACTGTTAAATTTTTATATAACTTTAATGCTCATAAAAACAGCTGCTTGTTTAAATAAAAATACATTGATGGGATTTTTTTTGCACTAATAAAGTTGTGGAGTTGTAAAGTATTTTGTCTAGTGTCAATTATATCGTCAGTTATATCGTTATCACAAATTTTCAAATGTATATCGTGATAAATATTTTTGGTCATATCGCCCTGCTCTAGTTTGACCTACTACTTACATTTGAACTACTTTTGTGCTGTTGTATAATTTAACGTGTGATATCATATTCTAAAAGTTGTACAGTGGCAATCAGACATTTTTAACCGCTGCATGAATGTAGTCTAGTAAACCGTACTAATAATCTGTAGGAAGTCCCTCAGAAATATTATATCAAAACTATCAATACTCATTTTTCTCATCGCCATGGATGCATGAGGGATTTCTTCTCTATAGTGTTGGCAGTGTTAAAGCCAGCTTGCAATTTTGGGGTGTCCAAGATAATGGAAATCCCAAAACGGTGCTTGTGTTGTACAGCGAGAGGCATTCAATGTAATCTTCAGTCTTCAGTCTTGCAACCGAAGATTATCTGGGACAAAAAAATTCTCACAGTGTCTAATATTTAGGACATTTCTAGCACAGCTTCACCTACTTCCAAGGTCTGTGGAGATAAGCAGTAGTTTTAGACAGGTTGACAATCCAGGAAAACCTGTGGTACTTCATTACGTATTGATCAAGTAAGCACTGGAGCTTCAACCTCTTTAATGTCTTCCAACCAGCCAGCAGGAATGCATCATGAAGTGATGTGTCTAAATGGTATCAGTGGATTTTAAAATGGGCTAAACCAATTGACTGGGACAACCAAGAAGGAAAAATAGTTGAGTTGTGGCAGCAGCAGCGTATTTGTATGAAGTGTCCCCCCCAGCTGTTATCCTGACTCCATCATGAAGAGTGTAGTGTGGAAAGGAATAAAAAAAAAAAACCAAACAATATATTTAAAATGGAAAACTAAAGATAGGCTTGGAAAGGCGTATCAAACAGAAGTCTATTAAACAGGTGTGTGCAGGTAACTGTGTAAGTGTGCGTGTGTGCGTGTAGGTGTGTGTGTTTATATGTGTGGACAAAGATATGACACTGCAGTTATCTTTTGGATAATTTAAGATGTCATTTGGACTGTAGCCAGCTGGCCTCAGCTGTCAGGTTTTCTTTTTATTCTTTTTTATTTTTCCATTAAATTGATTCAGTGGGGTTTATTAAAACAGTTCCAAATGTGAAAATAAATCTTTTAAAACTAAGAAAAAAAATAAAATAAAAATAAAAACTCCTACTGAATGAACTGTGAGGTGAAACCCTCCTGTTAGCTGTGAAGTCTGTGATCTTTGAATGCCCAAACTTAGCTTTGACAAAATTGTACTCAGCTAAGGTACAAAGTAAATTATTCACTCCTCAGCTTTAATACACAAAATAGGAGGCTGTTTTTTTCCTTCCAAAATAATGTTGAGAAGCACTGGCTATTGTGTCTCCTCACTACATACATCTCCATCTACACAAGACAACTGCAGGGAAATGAGAATCCTGTGTCGATCCATTTCAGGCTTTGGAGATTGGCGGGGAGATTATATACAGCCCCAGAGTCACAGACGTGAAGCAGTGTACTGTTGCCTTCAAAACTCACTCTCAGTAGTTAGGGAGGGGCCATGTTAATGGCAGCCAGCTGTGTTTCTCATGAAGGGGGGATATCAGGTCAGAAACACAACATTTGCAAGTAATCCTGGCCACCCTCCATCTTCATCATAATTTGGGCAGGCCCTCCGAATGTTCGGAGTGGCTATGGTATCTTTCAGCAGTTTATTAACTTGACTTTAATTTGATCAAACACGTCATTTATGGGGGTCAGATTAATATATGTATAATATGGCTCAGTGATGGACGAGAGCTCACTGAAGCTCAACATTGATACAGCGAAAGCCGATGCCAGCTCCCTCTCTCTTATGAATGATTCAGGCCATCCATTGTGTCACTGTCTTCTCTCTAGATGTGGAGCACAAGGAGGAGGATGGGAGTGATGCGGTAAAGACTGAGGTAAGATTTCTGTCCTGTTGTGTCTTTATTCTTTGGTTAATGTAGCTAAGGTGACTGTCCCACGTTGCAGAAGTGTAGCTTCATTGATTGAAGTGGGTGAATTACCTTGCTCGTGTCAAACCAGAAGTCAAACCGGTTGGGTTCTGAACTGAACATGGCAAAAATGAGAAGCTATTCCTTTAAACTTACTCATTAAACTTTTGCCACATGCCTTCCCATAAATGGAGCAAAGAAGCCTACACTGTATCAGCACCATTACACAAGTGGAGGCTATTCGTTTTCTTGCCTTTGGACTTATGAAAGAAATGGTACCTGATGGTGTATAAATTTGAAATATCAAATACACTTGGGAGCTTGTTGTATAAGTTGGTATTGTTGGCCTTGAGTCTGTTAGACATGGTGACATCATTTCTTCCTGCCTGACCAATCACCAGCATGCGAGACATCATATTTTTAGCAATGTAGTTAACCCCATCTTAAGTTTATTATTACCCAGTTGTTACCTAAATTGTTAATTTGCAGGTTGTAGCGACAGATCAGTCATTTTACTACAAATCTGGATGCTTCCTTATGACAGAAACTCTCAGAAGAAGAATCAAAAACAAATAGCTAACTTTTTTTTTTAACGCCTTAAACAGGGAGGTCGAGGCAGGCTGCGAGGGGGAGTTGGTTGGGAGATCAGCCTTCGTCAGAGGCCCATGCCCAGAATAACCTTCCAGGCTGGTGACCCTTATTACATTAGCAAGAGGACCAGAGAGGAGTTGCTGGCCAAGTGGAAGATGGAGGTGAGTACCCCAGCTCTGTCCCAGCCACCACAGACGGCAGGATGAGTGACAGGCGTTGACTAAAGCCGCCAGGGTAAAAGACAGAGCTCGTAGTGCATTCATGCTCTGCCAAGTGTATTTGATGGGTCATTTGATATCTCATGAAGGTACCATTTATTTCAGTGGATTTCCAGGCCTTTCTGGCTCAGTAGGCTCCTGTGTCTCCTGGCTTAGTTCTTGTGTCTTGCATTTGCAGAGAAGAAATCACACACAGCTGTGTAAATAGCATTCGTTTGGTGTGTTGATATGATTCATGCCTCCTGGATGAAAATGTGTTACATTTCGATTTGCATCATTCTGACTGCTTTTGGTGTGTTGAAGCTGAGCCAGCCAATGCAGTCTCCTAAGGACAGATTCTCCCTCTGTCTTTGTTAATATCAAATGTACTTTTAATTGGCTAGATCAGACTAAGTTTAGATTTAAGAAATGGTGTTTAAAAATTAAAGAAGTCCAGTGTGAGGATGATCTTGTAAGAGTAGTATTTTCAAAGCTTTCGCAGATGCTTATATATGGCACGGGTTCATAATTTAATGGGAAAGGATTCAGGAGTAAAAAAAGTAATTATCAGCATATTAACCCATTTTCTTCCTGTGTATTCAGTCAAATAGAAAAACAGTAGTGTATTATAGATGCACTTAAAAAAATTCTAGCAATGTATTTGTAAGGTTGTTAACAACTTGATGTGAAGACACTGCTTGACTCTGCCCACCATCTGCTCAGCTGTGCTGTGTACTTTGCTATTTGTACTGCAGAACGTATTATAGACAAAGTCAGAGTTCCTCTGCTGGACAAACACCAGCCGACTTTACTGCTTTGGAACGTAATCACAGTAGCAATCATTTCATCTTTCAACCCAACAGTTGCAGAGTAAATTTAATTTGTATATATAGCTATATGTAGCACTAAATCATAACAACAATCGCCTCAAGGTGTTTTGTAAAAGTAAAGCCCCCCTGACAGTATTGCCAAATCAAACATACTGAGCAACCAGCTGTAGCAATCCCTATTGAATAATGGGGCTGCCGAAAGTAGATTTTATAGTGGCATGTAAATGCATCATGAGTCGAAAAGAAGCACTCAGTGCATCATGGGAAGTCCCCCAGCAGCTTCAGTTGGTAGCAGCATAACTAAGGCCTCAGTCGCACAGGTCTTCAGACAGGTTTGCAACCCCCTGCCAATCTCCAGTCGGTAGAGAAAAATGTGTATGCCCTGACAGGTTGCTGAGTGGTTCCTCGAGGTTGCTGGCTGCTACTGGGTGAGATTGGATGCAAAGAAGGTGCTGCATCAAAAACCTAATTGGTTTGTTCAGCAGCAGATTTCTGTGGCTGTGGTTGCATGGATTTGCAAAAATGTGGTTGCAAAACTTGAAAAAGTTCTACTTTTGCAAAGTGCAAAAGTAGAACTTTTGCTATTCAAGTAAAAGTTGTCCCTTTTTGCTGAAACCAACACACTTCAAAAGATGCAACTTTTACTGTGAAAATAAATGGTTTCCTTTTTATTGTTTGCATTCCACTCTTCACAGACTCCCTATGGTTTAGCATGTAGTTGGAGTGCTTTTAGACAAGCTGACCTCTTCTGTATGGGCGACTGCAGCGAAATACTAGCAACCAAAGCAGTTGTAAGAAAATTTTTTGCATGTCATCATCTTTTTGACTAATTGCATATATATTTTTTCTGACCAGGCGGTCGCCATTCAGTCTCTAGGGGATTAAGGGAAGGTCCAGGGTCACCGAGTACAGCGCTAACTCTAAGCTTTATCAAATATGATAGTTAGAGAGCATGCTTGTTTACCAAATGCAAACTGGGAGGTTCCACAGGTGAAGTGCCTGAAAGCTGAAGGGTCTGCCTCCCATTCTACTTTTAGTCTACACTCTGAGAGTGAACTGCTCTAATACAAAAAAATATGTTGGAGGCTGATGATTCAGGACTTTGTCAGAATAAGGATTTCAAAGTCATTCCTGGATTTAGAAGGAAGCCAATAAAGAGAAGCTGAAATAGGAGAAATATGATCTGTTTTTATGGTCCCTGATAGTACTCTTGCTGAATCAAACAGCATTTGCAAACCAGGAATTTCCACTTGTCTAATTTTACTGTTGGATGATGTTGCATTGTGGTACAGTTGGCCTTCCTTTTTTTCTTATTTTTGCCAGAACCAGTGGCCACTTCCAAATAAAGGAGGGGATTTTTACGCAGGTTTTATGAAGACCTCTGTGCTACCTGTTAACAGACTTCAAACAATATTTTATATCCATTAACTACACTCAGAACAATCACACAGCTTGCTCTTTTATCTTCTGGCAAATATTTATCCTTGATTTTTCTTTTTAGAACATTTATCATCTGTGAATGATGATAGATCATCCTTCATCATTGTAAAATTCTCCACATTGCTTACTTAATCCTCATAGTAATGTGATGGCACCTACCTTCATCTGTTACATAATGGGGAGTCTTCCATTTCTTCTGCTGCTCGCTTCTCCCTCTGCTCTCCTCGGGACCGTAAAAGTGTCTCCAGAGAGAAAATATTGCCAAATTAGTCCTACAAGTGAAATGTCATAAAATACAAAGTGGGTAGTTCACATTTTCCAAACAGAGGTGGATACTCTTGAAGAAGTAGCTGTACAAGACAGGGATTTACGGGGATTTGCAAGATGCAAATTTTGAATGTACCTGCTCCCCCCCCCTTCCCCATCCTTTTCTTATCTGGCTTTTTGCAAGCTTTGAACTCATTTGCATAAAAGGGTGATTTGTTTTGACATAAAAGCCCTTTCTTGATATGATTCATATCCCGTAATTTTGGTTCTGCTCTTGCTACAAAGATCTTTGCTGTTGCATTCTGCTGCAACAGGGGCCATATGTTGTTGAAAGGCTGTCTTGCACTTTCTCCAGGATCCCTGTTTGTTTCATTTGCCCTGTGTTACAGTGGACTTCTCGGTCTCTCCCTCTCCTTTTCCCTGCTCCATTCTTCCAAGGACCCCTCCCCCAGCTATGGAAATGAACTCTGTGCTATGGATATGAGGGTGAAGATGAGGTTTGCAGCAAATTTCCAACCCTGCTTGCAAGAGAGCCTCTTGGCTCCTTGCCAAAACTTTGCAAGTCCTCTCTAGCCAACCAGCGTTCCTGTCGGCAATCACCTGACCCTGAATTCCCAGACAAAGAAATGTTCATGCTTTCTTTTTTTAAGCGATCTCTCCTACGCCAAGAGTGGGGGTGGAAAAAAAACTTCAGCCCCACACTGGATTATGAGGGTTGCACGCTGGCGTGTATGGGTATGTGCACTGCATTGTTTGTTTGATAACACAGGGGGATAGTGTGCATGTCTGATTAGCCTGCTTACAGCGAGGGGAATATGCTGACTTCAGGTATTTCCACGAGAATTGTTGTGGACCATCTGCTCTGCACGGCTTAAAGGGAAACGTCTCTTTAAAAAGGAAGAGGGAGCAGGGAGCTTTAGCCGTGTTTGGGAAAAAGTTGATTGGCATGAAAAAAACTTTTTCCCGTGGGTTGAATACTTGCTCAAACTATTTCCTGCTTCAGAGCAGCAGCTAGAAATGTTAGAATAGCATTGTTTTTAGAGGTGAAGTATATTTAACTTTTGAAAAAAATGTTTGTTTTTTATTTCCTCAGTGCCGGTATCCTTCACCTTACATAACATGCACCTAGAAAAAGTGTGAAGTGAAGTTGTTGTGTAGGCCTCAAAGCCCTTTTCTTCCTATCTTTGTGCACTTTGTTCTGTTTGACTCCTAACATAGATTACTGTAAAAACTCAATCCCTTAGAAATATTTTAAGTGGCTTTTTTTGTTAACAACTCTAGTTGTGGATTAATGGAGAAGTTGATTTATGTATTCATGGGTAGCTCTGTAAAATTCCTAATTATCTCTTAAAGGGATGTAATACAATGAGAAACAGATGGCCTTTTTTAAAACGTATTTTCTGGGCGATGTGACCCCCCGCACCCCCTCTTCCGAGGACACTCATGTTGTAGGGATCAGTGCTAAAAACAGCCTAATGAAAGCAGTAGCCGCTGAACCTGACATTTGTGCATTTTTGCAAAGTATTTCCACGCTAAAAGCTTTTTCAAAGCTTAGGATCAGATTATTCTCCATTTGGAGTTAACTACACCTGTTGTGGCTTTAGTTTTTATTATTTTGCTGCAGTTCTGCTCAGCAGATAAGCTTAGGTCTTTGCACTGAAAAGACATCTCACTGCATTATCCATCACACAGTCACACAAATGAGTCCCCGCTGTGCCTCCCCTGCCTGTTGCGCATGACAGACTACTGCATTCAAAGGTCACACTCTTTTGTGTTGTTTCAAAGGCTCAGTGTAATTTTTGTGACAGTGTATTTCATCTAATGTTTAGGATACCTGATTGTTTTGACTAAATGGCATTTTTTCTTGAAGTTTTAACACGCTTCTCTCTGTTATCAGATTTGATTTTCTCTTTGTAGCTGGATCATATTATTTTTAACATGCACAGTGTTGTTTCATCTCAGCAACTGCACTTTTAAATCTTTGACCCGTAAATACTGAGACGTCTATAACTTGTAAAGTTAATAACCATATAATAGACAGTTGCTGACTGCAGCTATGCAGTAAAAGTGACCTTTTTGTTAACAAGTGCTGCCAGATTTGATAGTAAAGTATCATCTGCACACCCCAGAGACCAATATCACTTCTCTTTTTTTTCTTCCTCCGTTGCAGTGCACTCTGTCACCCCTTGAGCCCTCAGGGTATCATGCAGCACAGCCTCTAAGTCTGATTATCCCTTATTGTGCGCCCAACATGTCTCCACAGTCTGCCAAGTGGCCTGCAGAGCTTCTGTTTTCTCTCTGCTCATAACAAAGTCCACGATCACTGGAAGCTTAGTCTTGCATGATACTTTAGAACATTTAACATCGTTTTTTGGAGGGCGGGGGAAGGGGGATTGTGTAGTTGTTTTCAGCACATTTATTTTGCAG